ACTAAACTGCTCTTGCCTACACACTGTTCCTTTCTGCCAATTAGCTCTTTCCTGGTGCCTTCTCAGATTAGCGTTTCATATCCTCAAAGCACTTAACAGTATGTATAAATATGGACATTTCACTACTGCCCATATTCTCCCTCAGACCACTCAGAAATATTTAAAATAAGACCAGTCCCTGAATGGATCAGGGAGAAGGGACCACTGTTTTGTTTCTTGTCTAAATTAGTTTCTCATTAAAGACAAAATGTTGCCCTGTCTTCTCCCCACACCCAAAGCCAGGGAGCACCAACGATGTGCAGTACTCAAAAGTGCTTTCCTTTCAGATAAAAAGAAATGGATTTCTATTTAAAAATCAGACAAGGCTAAGCAAAGTGGCTCATGTCTGTAATTCCGGCACTTTGGGAGTCCCAAGTGGGAGGATCACTTGAGCCCAGGAGTTCCAGACCAGCCTGGGCAAGACCTCCACACTAAAAATAAAAACAAAAATAAGATAGAGGTCAGACAAATGTTATCTCAAAATGGCTACCAAAAACCAGACATGTATCCACACAACAGTTATATCTGGAATTGCAAACATTTCTTCAGACTCAATGGCAACAAATATTACTGGGAGCATATCCTCGATAAATGACATTTGCAATTTACAAATAACATTCAGGCACAAATTGACTAATTCACAAAAGGAAACAGAGCTAGTAATTGAGATCTGAAAGTCCAGCCTTACCAATAATCAGAGAACTGTATCACAAAACAAAGATATCAGCCAGGTATGGTGGCTCATCCCTATAATCCCAGCATTTTGGGAAGCTGAGGCAGGAGAATCACTTGAGCCCAGGAGTTCAAGACAAGCCTGAGCAACATGGCAAAACCCCATCTCTACAAAAAAATTTAAAAATTAGCTGGACATGGTGGCGCACACCTGTAGTCCCGCTACTCAGGAGGCTGAGGTGGGAGAATGTCTGGAGCCCTGGAGGTTGAGGCTTCAGTGACTCATGATCACGCCACTGTACTCCAGCCTGGGTGAAAGAGGGACAGCCTGTCAAAAAAAAAAAAAAAAAAAAACCCACAAAGATATCATTCATTCATTTACATATGGAATGTAAAATATAATATATATATAAATATATATATATATATTTTATAAGTACCTAAAACAAAAGCAAAAATATTTTTTATAAGTACCTAAATGACTGGGTACAAAAATTGACATTAATTTTTTGAAAAAAGCAACTATGCCAATTCCTTGTAATGTTCAAACCTTTTGACAAATAACTAATTCTAGAAGTCTCTTAGATAAGCAACCCAAAATAGATAAATAATAAAAACCAAATGAAAAGACATTCATTACATAATTTAAAATAATGAAAATCTGTAAAATACTTCCATACAACAGAACGTCATGAAACAATTAATGACAATTACAAAGAATGTTTAAGATGGACATTTATGTGATATAATGTTTAAAACAAAACACAATACAAAATAGTACACATATATCATCAACTGCATAAAAAAATGCAGATTACGAAGTGAATAAATGTGTTAACAATAGTTATCTCCGGGTGGTGAAATTATGGATCTTTTTTCTCCCATGCTTGATAGTTATCCTCAGGCAAAGTTATAATATTTACCAAATTTCTAGACTGAGGGAGCTATTCAAATTTAAACAATAGAAGAAAAATCACAAAATAGAAGATATATTTGCCAAATAATTTCAAATCTGTACTAACCAAAAATTTAAAAACAAAAATTATGAGGCAAACAATAACATGGAGTAGGTATTTATAACATTACAAAAGTAATTATTTACAGAACACACTCAAACAGATAATAATAAACACTAAACTAAAGCTTCAACACATAAATCAACATAAGATATGAACTATTATTACACAAAAGAAAACTGCTGACAAATATATGGAGGAAGAAAGAATCCAAGCTAATAAGCAAATGAAAAATTAATACTGGTTTTTATCCATTAAAAATTAAAAAACAACATTTAACGTTTGTATGAGTAAAAATTGATACAACCTTTTTGGGAAGAAATTTGGCAATACATACTGAGAGTTTAAAATGTCCGTACTTTGATGTACTAACTCCACTTCCACGAATGTATCCCTAAGCAAATAATAAAAATAAAACACACGTATTTTCAGTCTTTTATAACAAGAAAAAAAGACAATAACTTTTCCATCACTGTTGTATATTTGGATCAACATGGCGAAGTATTAATTAAAAAAAAACCTACTGCAGCAAATGACTGGTTAGATGTCTCAAAGCATTAGAATCAGACAGAAAATCAGGCAAAACAAGAAGGGTGTGTCCAGCCTGCCGCAGTCGGCCATTTTAGACCCTCTGCAGAACAAAAAGCACAGAAGACAAGGGTAGTTAAGGATAGTCACCCCACTAGGCACCAAATCAACAATTCTTTACTTTTTGTCTCCTAGGTATGTAACCCTATACTCTGCAGTCAAAAACAGAAAACAAGTCTCCCTTTTCAAAAGGCTTTGGTTAGTTACAAACAAATTTTGAAACCATAAAAGAAGGTTCCCTTAAATTCGCCTCCTCTTTTTAGGAGATAAAGCATAATGATTAAGAGCACAGGCTTCTGGAGCCATCCCACCTGGATAAAAATCCAGTATCAGCCATTGAAATGGCTGTAAAGCCTTGAACAAATTAAAATTGTGTCCCTCAAATATCTCATTTGTAAAAGCTTAATAACAGTATTGCTGTTTCATAAGATTGTTGAGAGTACCAAATGAATTACGGCCTATGTAAAAGCACGCAGACCAGAACGTCACAAGTAGTTAAGTGCTATAGACGTTTAAGTATAATTATTATTACAGATGCAGAAATAGGCCCAGTGGCCGGGCGCGGCAGCTTACGCTTGTAATCCCAGCACTTTGTGAGTTGGAGGCCGGTGAATCACTTGAGGCCAGGAGTTCGAGACCAGCCTGGCCAACATGGCAAAACCCTGTCTCTACTAAAATTAAAAAATTAGCCGGGCGTGGTGGCGCCCACCTGTAATCCCAGCTACTACTCGGGAGGCTGAGTGAGGCACGGAAATCGCTTGAACCCAGGAGGCAGAGGTTTTAGTGAGCTGAGATTGCACCACTGCACTCCAGCCTGGGCAACGGAGCAAGACTCTGTCTAAAAGTAAATAAATGAGAGAGAAAGAGAGAGAGAGGGAGAGAGAGAGAGAGAAATAGACCCAGAGAAGGAAAAGGACCACCATGAAATCATAGCTAGGATTATTGGAAAAAGATCTGTTTTTTCACTTTTTTAATCTTGTCCCCTTGGAGTCATGACAGTACATCTGCCTTTAAAAAAGAAAAGAAACTCTAATGTTCCCCCTTGACAAAACCGTGCTGAAAGTTCTACAGAAGAAAAAATAAAGGAAGGTGAAAGCCCAGGCTACCTTCATAACACCACTGCCACTAACTACTTTCCAATCTTTCTCTACAACAGTATGAGTCCCAGGCAACCATAGGTCCAAATTCCAGGTTTACGGCAAAGAGTAACAAGCATTTGGAAACACATCCAAATCCTCACGCCCGTGTTCTCAGGGAAGAAAATCAAGGGCTTTCGGCAATCAAGGGCATCAATATTAGATTCTCACACTACAACCACTGTGCTTTGCTACTCTGATGGAATGACTGTATTCAAAGCCAAGTACAAGCGGCCCATGATCGGAAAGCCAGAGAGAGGCCTTCGAAAGCATACTGCCCAAATGTGGCCTGTCTCCAAGTGCTCCCTTTTTACGCATTTCCTACGCACCGCCAGCTGCCGCAACCTTTTGCAGAGTCATCATCCCCTCCTCATTTTTGAACCCACTTACCGATAGGCCAGTGATAGGCTAAGATTCTGGGTTAATTTCTAGTATATCTGGCCACAGCATAGGAAAACTCCAACTCAGGTTGATCCCTTCACTCAGCTAAAAGAGTAGTTCTCTGCAGGGCCTGATAGCCCAAGATGGCCAAGCAAAGACAGCTTACCTCCCCCCTCGCCATTTTGCAACCTTAATTACACGAACACTGAGCACCTCCCCTCCCCGGCATTCTGTTTGAAATACGCATGCGCGCCGCTTCCTCCTTACCATTCTCCCCATCAAGATGTCTCAAATACGCATGAGCGCCGTCTCTCCCTCCCAACCTCTGGTGCCAACTTCTAGCAACTTTGCGTTCGTAAATATGCATGCGAGCCCTTCTCTTCCCGACCCTCCAACCCCCACTCCATTCAAGCCTTGCGCATGCGTGTCTCCCTCTCCTCGCCACCCACTGGAGCCCCTCCCCTTAACTCAGGTCTTCTCAAATACTGTAAGCTTGAGCGCCGCCCCTCGGTGCCGCGCCTCCTCATCCAGCCTCTCAAATACCCTGCGCACCGCGCTAGTCCTCTTTCTTCTTGCTCCCATTTATATACAGTATGCATGCCTGATGCTATCTGGACGTATTTCTCGCCACAGTTCTGCCCCATTGCCCAAGGAGAGCCACTACCAGCCTTCTCTAATGCGGGTAGATGCGGTAAACTAGGGAAATTGAATCCGGGAAAGAAGGCGTTGCAGGTGATCAGAGTGAAACCCAGATCTAGATTGAATCGGTCCCGACTCCAAGGGAGGGGGCTATAATACCCTAGGAATCACATAAGACCCGCCAACATGAACAAAGCCAAGGAAAACTCTCCTAAATAATCGGATGAACCTGATCCTAAGGCCTTGCCCTTTAAATACATCTGCTACAAATGACGAACCCCAAATGTTTTAAACAGGGAACATGGAAAACACCGATGCTCAGGTGCCTTGACTCTAGTTAGAGGAAAGGAGTCTGCATTCCTTTCACAATGGGAAGCAAATGCTCAACATCCTTGGAGAACTGGTGCCTGTAACGGATTCCATTTTTTCCTCCCATGAACTGGAAAAATGCACAAATTAAGGATCTTCCTGGCCCAAGTTCCCTCCGCCGCCCTCCATGTTCTGTTCTTCCCCTATATCGTTCCTTTACCTCCTGGTTGAATTCAGTGTTGTAGCAGGAATTCTTAGAGCCGGCAGTCCCAAGATGGGGTGGAGAGAGCGGCATGAAAGAGAGAGAGAGAGAGAGAGATCCTTGAATGGCAGCAACAGGCCTTAGCGGCAATGGACAGCAGACACAGGACCAGCTGTGCCTCGAGCCGCAACGCTGATGCCAGAAAAGGACAACCTCTCCGGAATCGCCGCAGTGTGCTTCCAGCGCATGCGCTGCGCACGCCCTTTACCCTCCTCCCCCTCCCCCTACCGACTCTCGGAGTCTAACCTTCAGCAGTCTACCGACCTCCTTCACTCCTTTCCCAGGGCCCCCTATCCCACTCTGCTTCTTCCACCTTTCCCCTCCCCTCGGTCACAGGGGTCTCCACTATCATCTCTCGCTCAGCCCATCCTTCCTTCGTCAACACCCCTCCCATTATTCTTAGCCCACCATCTACCTTTATGCCCTCTGTTATTGTTAGTGCGCCACCCTCCAATTCTTCACCTTCCCTGCCAGTCTGCAGCCCTCTTGGGCCTCTTACTCCTGTCCTCCTATGCCTGATGTTGAAAATTGTAAAAATTACCGCAAAACAAAACAAAACGAAATTTAAAAAACAATTGTAGGCCGGGCGCGGTGGCTCACACCTGTAATCCCAGCGCTTTGGGAGGCCGAGGTGGGCAGAACCCTTGAGTCCAGGAGTTCGAGAACAGCTTGGGCCACATGGAGAAACCCCGTCTATACAAAAAAATACATAAATTAGCTGGGCATGGGGATGCGCGCCTGCACTCCCAGCCATTCAGAAGGCTGAGGTGTTGGGAGGCTGAGGCAGGAGAATCGCTTGAACCCGGCAGGCGGAGGTTGCAGTGAGCCGAGGTCATACCACTGCACTCCAGCCTAGGCGACAGAGCCAGACTCCGTCTCAAAACAAAACGAAACAAACAAACAGAAGGCTGAGGTGGGAGAATCACTCCAGCCCAGGAAGTCGAGGCTACAGTGAGCCTTGATTGTCCCACTGCACGCCAGCCTGGGCAAAAGAGTGAGACCCTCGTCTCAAAAAAACGAAAAAACGTATTTCCACACACCGTCTCCAAAGTAGCTGTCACCCTCTCCCAACCAGCCCGTCTCGGGCAAACAGAACGCCTTATTGATGATGACCCACAGAAGATCCAGAGACAGGGAACCAGAACAAAAACTGCAAGGGTGTTCAATCAGTTTTGGGGATAAGAGGCAGTAGGCTATCAACATGGAAAGGTCTTTTCTTTCTATTCACAACCCTGGTAATTGTCTGGACATTAAAAATGAGATTCAGTGTCCTTCACTGCTTACTACAAGGCCTGTTCCTGTCTTTTGTGAGAACTCTAATATTAATTTTGAGAGAAATGGCATTATTTACTTAAGAGGCTCTGAAATAGATCCCTCTTTGGGTGTGAACTAGAAAGAATACAAAATAGCATTTTGTTTTACTTTATTGTGTTTTACTTTGGTGCCTGAGTCTTCTTGCTTTCTAAAAAGGCCAGTTTGGAAATATAAAACTAAGACCCACAAATTCATAAATCCTAAAACCCATAAACTTGTACATCATCATCCTCTCTAATTAACTTGGGAAGAATGTTATATCAACATTATTCAGAGAAAAAATGGGTTTGTATTTTTCATATAATGCACACAAAAAGATTATACAACAATGTGCATATGAAGAAGAAAAAAGAGAAATAGGAATGTACTAAATAAAAAAGAAATGCTGAAATTTCAGTGGTACAAAGAACCTCTCCTAAATTAAAATAATCATTTATTATTACACAAAAGTTAAAATATAAGAAATTTTACCTTAAATTTTACAACACTATTTTAACAAATGCTTTTATGTCTGTTCTCTTTTTCTGTTATAATGGTTTTATTGAGATATAATTTACATATCATACAATTAACCAACTTAAAGTATACAATGCAATGGCTTTTAGTATATTCACAGAATTGTGCAGCCACCACTACAGTCAATTTTAGAATATTTTCATCACCTCCAAAAGAAACTTCATACCCATTAGTATTGTCTTAGTCCATTTTATGCCACTATAACAAAATACCACAGACTCGGTAATTTATAAAGAACAAAATTTATTTCTTCACAATTCTGGAGAATGGGAAGTTAAGATCGAGGCACTGGCATCTGACAACGGCCTTCCTGCTGCATCATCCCATGGTGGAAGGGCAGAGAGAGAGACAGCAAGAGAGCGAAAGAGGAGGCTAGAACTCATCCTTTTTTAAGGAACTCACTACTGAAATAACAAACCCACTCCCTCAATAATAGCATTAACCTATTCATAAGAGTGGTGCCCTCTTGACCCAAACACCTCCCTTTAAGCCTCACCTCCCAACATCACCACATGGAGGATCACATTTCCAACATATGAAATTTAAGAGACATATTCAAACCATAGCAAGCATCTTTGTGTTCTCTTATGATTTTTGTTCAAATATATAATGTTTTGGCTGGGCGTGGTGGCTCATGCCTGTAATTCCAGCACTTTGGGAGGCCAGTGCAGGAAGATTGTCTGAGCCCACAAGTTCGAAACCAGTCGGGGCGGCAACATCAGCAAGACCCTGTCTCTATTTAAAAAAAAAAAAGTGGGGGCCAGGTGTAGTGGCTCACACTCGTAATCCGAGTACTTTGGGAAGCCAAGGTTGACGGATCACCTAAGGTCAGGAGTTCGAGACCAGCCTGACCAGTATGGTGAATCCCTGTCTCTACTAAAAAAATACAAAAATTAGCTGAGCATGGTGGCAGGCGCTTGTAATCCCAGCTACTCAGGAAGCTGAGGCAGCAGAATCGCTTGAACCTGGGAGGCAGAGGTTATAGTGAGCTGAGATCACGCCACTGCACTCCAGCCTAGGTGACAGAGTGAAACTCCAACAAAAAAGGAAAGGAAGGAAGGAAGAGAGGGAAGGAGGGAGGGAGGGAGGGGAGAAAGAGAGAGAGAGAGAGAGAGAGAGAGAGAGAGAGAGAGAGAGAAAAGAAGGAGAGAAAGAAGGAAAGAAAGAAGAAAAATGTATATATAATGTTTTAACAGCTTTTTTGTAGGGGGAAGGAGTCTCCCTCTGTCGCCCAGGCTGGAGTGCAGTGGCACGACCTTGGCTCACTGCAACCTCCACCTGCCAGGTTCAAGCAACTCTCCTGCCTCAGTCTCCTAAGTAGCTGGGACTACAGGTGCGTGCCACCATGCCCAGCTAATTTTTTGCATTTTTAGTAGAGACAGGGTTTCACCATGCTGGCCAGGCTGGTCTCGAACCCCTGACCTCATGATCCACCCGCCTCAGCCTCCCAAAGTGCTAGGATTGCAGGCATGAGCCGCCGCCCCCAGCCAACATTAACATTTTTTACTACACTATATTTGTATTTGAGGTTGTGTTTTTACCATGCACAGGCAAATCTTCATCAGCAAACAGATTTGGTTCTGTTTCTTTCAAGGAACTTCTACCTTCAATTCAGGCAAGGAGCTTGGTCCTAGACTCAGCCCTATGGAAATCACTACACATCACCCCAAAGGCTCAATGCATAAGAGACTCAACTTTCCCCCCACCAATGCCATTTACCAATGGCACAGACCAACATCAACATTTTATAGATATAATATTGTGCTGTTTTCACTACTTTTCTATAATCCTAATTATTGATTATCTTCACTCTTTTTAATAAATGGACAGCATTGCATTTTTGAAAGTATTATAAAATTGAAATCAGCACATAATTCTTCTTTTCTTTTTTTTTTGTACAAAGGTACAAAGGTAACCTTTTATTTCAGTGTCCTTCTAAGCCATACCCTACCCTGCCTTCTGTTTAAGGCTGTTATCTGCCTTTGTATTCCTTGTGTCTGGCACAGTTCCTGGTACATGGGAGCCATTCAAAAATAAATCCACAGGCCGGGCATGGTGGCTTACGCCTGTAATCTCAGCACTTTGGGAGGCCGAGGTAGGCGGATCACTTGAAACCAGGAGTTCCAAACTAGTCAGGGCAAAAAAGTGAGACCCTATCTGTATATAAATAAATATTAACAAATAAATCTGTCATTAACATTAAGGTCCATGTTCTGGATAGAAAAATCTCATCTCCTCTAAGTAGGATTTAGAGATTGCACTTGTATTTTCAGTGATAATGAGATGGAAGTTCAACTGATATTTACCCCACAATTCACAATCTCTGAGCATTTCCTGCTATTGGTCATTATGATTTGGTTTTTCCTTCTCTGGAAAAGCTTTGGGTCATGCAGCACATAATTCTTACAGGTTGGGTTACTTATTCTTTCCACATATCTTTATTTTGAAAAACTTCCATAATGCACCATGGCCCCTTAAGAAGAGAAATTCAAGAAAGGGACACAGGCTGGGCACAGTGGCTCACGCCTGTAATCTCAGCACTTTGGGAGGCTGAGGCGGGTGGATCATGCAGTCAGGAGTTCAAGACCAGCCTGGCCAACATGTCGAAACCCCCTTTTTACTAAAAATACAAAAATTAGCCAGATGTGGTGGCGGGCGCCTGCAATCCCAGCTACTCGGGAGGCTGAGGCAGGAGAATTGCTTGAACCTGGGAGGTAAAGGTTGCAGTGAGTTGAGATCGCGCCACTGTACTCCAGCCTGGGTGACAGAGCAAGACTCCATCTAAAAAAAAATTAAAGAAAGAGGCATAGCTTGTAAATCTTGAACCCTATAAAATACTTACAGTCCTAGGCCTGCCTATTTGTCTGAACTTCCCAGTTCACAAGCAGTTCCTAAGGAGCGGTAAGGGAGAAATTTGGGAACCTCTATTGTATCTACCCATTTTAAACTAACATCTGAGACTTTATTTTTCTCTTTTCCTCCATCCTATACATTTCTTAGGAGACTGGGCTTATTCTAGAGGATGTGATGATTAATTTTACATGTCAACTTGGCTGGACCACAATGCCCAGATATTTTGTCAAACAATTCTAGATGTTTCTGTGAGGGGTGCTTTTGGATAAAATTAACATTTAAATTAGTGGATTTTGAATAAAGCATTGCCCTCCATAATGTGGGTGGGCCATATCAATCAGTTGAAGACCTGAATAGAACAAAAGACTGATCTACCCCAGGTAAGAAGGAATTCTGCCAACAGATTGCCTTTGAATTGTAACATTGGCTCTTCTCTAGGTTCCCAGCCTGATGGCTTTTGGGCTTGAACTATGGTAT